ATTCGATACACCTTGTACGGCATAAACGCCTGGGATTAACGATGTAGAAAAAAATCTGACTTTACTACTACCTGCGAGAAATTTCACTCAATCAAAGCGAATTTTTTAACTTAATTTTTGAAAACGAATTCTTTAGAAATGATAAATGATGGAGTGAGTGTGGTGTTCAATCCTTTTTAAAAAGATAGTTCCTACTCACAGTAAGTTGCCTTTTTAAAAAGATAGTTCCTACTCACAGTAAGTTAGTTGTTTTGCAACGATCCGGATTTCGAGCCTTTTAGCTCATCATCAAGTTGAAGGACTTCTACAACCACGTCTCTCGACATGAATTGCCAAAGCTGATACCTCCGCCAACGCGACGTTCCAATTAGCCGCTGATTTTTTTAATGGCGCTGAATTTGAACGTGCGAAACGCGGAAATTATAACACAAATGAATATTGTACTAGTAAATACTTAATATTATTAAATTACTATAAATATATACATTAAAAAATGTAAAGTTGAACATGGTGATAAATGCATTAATAATATAACAGATTTTGCTCTACCTCCCATTTTAAATATGTACATAAATAATATCAAACATCCAAATAATTAAACTAATTAATTGTTATTATTTTTATATTAATTTAATAATATTAAGTATTTACTAGTATAATATTTATTTGTGTTATAATTTCCGCGTTTCGCACGTTCAAATTCAGCGCCATTAAAAAAATCAGCTGCTAATTGGAACGTCGTGTTGGCGGAGGTATCAGCGGGTTCACTTTGGCAATTCATGTCGAGAGACGTGGTTGTAGAAGTCCTTCAACCTGATGATGAGCTAAAAGGCTCGAAATCCGGAACGAATTCTTTGTTTTTATATTTTATTTTATTTGTATCTTTGAATTTTCATATGTTCTTCTAAGAGCACAATTATTTTACAATAAACAAATCACAAATATACGGGAATTTTGCTTTAAAGAAAGAGATAATTTGAAGTTAAAAGGGGTAATTTGAAATTAAAAAAAGGATCATTTGAAATTAAAACCCGTTCATTTAACGTTAAAAAGGGTTAATTTAAAGTTAAAACGCATAATATGAAGTACAGATGGAGAATTTGAAATTAAAAACGGTTAATTTGAAGTGAAAAGGGGTTAATTTAAAGTTTAAAAAACATTAATTTGAAGATTAATGGTTAATTTTAAATTAAAACCAATTATTTGGAAGGTGAAAAGGGTTAAGTTGAAATTAAAGAAAGTTAATTTAAAATAAAAATGGTTAATTTAAAGTTAAAACTGTTCATTAAAAGTTAAAAAGCGTGAATTTGACATTTAAAAAAGGTTAATTTGACGTTAAAAACGGTTGTTTTAAAGTTTAAAAAAATCATTTGAAGATACAAAAGGTTGATTTGAATTAAAATCAATTAATTGGAAGTTCAAAAGGGTTAATTTGTAATTAAAACAGGTTAATTAGAAGATAAATAAGAGTTAATTTAAAATTAAAACAGGTTAATTTAATTTACATTCTTTTTATTAATTTAATATGATGGTAAAAATACTTTGTAATCCAAGTTAAAAAAATTTAAATACACTAATTTGAGATTAAATGTGGTTATTTTGAAATTAAAACGGGTTAATTTGAAATCAAAAAGGGTTAGGCTTAAGAAAAAAAAAACTTAATTTGAAGTTAAAAAGTGTTAATGTGACGGGCAAAAGCTGTATACTATATCTATATATAGTACGATATCTATACTAGATTCTCAGTTAAAGAATTTTTAAACAACAAATATAAAGGTTTAAATATTCAAAGCACGACGTTTCAAAATAATAGCAGGGACAAAACGGATCACAGAAGAGTTTCAGCTATATCCGAAGGGGGTAACTTTTCTCGGTTTTCAGGATTTCACAGAAGGCCAAATATGCTTTCCATTACTTATTACAAAATATATATTATATATTAATATATATATATATATATAACATATATTACAAAATTGGTGTCATTTCATTCAATAGATGCCTTCACCCCCAGCAGGCAATAAATTTTTTTTTTAAATAATGGGTATTAAATTCAAAATCTTTTAAAAATTTTGTGAACATGATTATTTTTTTTATTTTTTTTTTCTTTAAGTAAGGTGAGGTTATTCTAGTACGCTTTTAAAGGGACATATTCATCAAAGAACGAGTGAATGAAGTAGTTCTGTTTTTAAGGGGATAGGAAGGGCGTGAGAAGATATTTGATAAGGAAATAAATCTATTTCTTCTTAACATAGATATATGTTCCAAGTTGTATTACAATACTAAAATATAATATAAAGTATGGTGAATCATATTTGTTTATATCTCTTTGAACAATTAGATAGCCTTGAAATTTTTTTAAAGGTTGATGTTTAATTGTTGATGTTCAAAAGTGAAGAGGCTCTTATTATTGCTAGCTCTTATTATAATCCAACTTGTATAATTTAAATAAATTGAAAAAAAATAAAAAAGCTTAACTATTCATCCGAAAAATTGTCCTTCGGTTGTTTCTTTTAATAAAACCATTATTATTTTTTAAAGATGCCCAAATTGTTTTTAAAGGTGTATAGTTTTATTCAAAAATTTCTAACATAGACGAAATATAAAAGGTTTAATCGCTTTTTAATTCTTTTTTGCTTGTGTTTGCCTTTAAGAGACAAGTTGTCTTTTTTTTAAAAACACATTGATCAAATACTTCAAAGATAACCTCTTTTTTGCATTATAATCCTGCCAGAGTTCAATTTGTCTCGCAGCTGTCCTTGGTCGGACAAGCGTCGCTATCCACACTTCAGCGATATTTGAAGACGGGGATATTCAAACAAAAAAAACCCTCCAAAATGAAAGACTTGTGACCTCAACAAGTCAATAACAAGTCAGAAAACCCCGATGCAGGAAAAGAAACCGTTGAGGAACAAACACAACTGGCCTTCCGCATTTTATTTTCCAAAAGCCTGGAAACAGAATCTTCCTAAACAAAATCGAATGAAAACAAGAGCGACGGGTTTTGAGGTGATGTTATCAAACTTGTATCATTGGGTTAACTGGCAATGAATCAAACGATCGAAAGGGGACAAACGTAATTACCGGCACAATTGTATGATCGATACCAGTCCAGTAAAGAAACCTACAAAATGCCAAATTATTTAACAATATCAGTCTCTTTCTTGTCTGATTTTTTCCGTGAAAAATAATTTTAAGAAGAATCTTAAAACTAAACTCCTCCTTAACCTTAACCTGGGGGTTTTTCCCGAGACTTTAGTTCAAAAGTTATCAAAAATCGAAATTAATCAAACAAGGATGTGTGATATACAATTGATAGGGGTGGGGGAATTGTCATGAAAACAGAATTGAGATCTGCAATTAAATGGTTAAAAGGAAGAAAAATAAAAGATTTGTTCGCATTTATTTGATGCTTCTTGTATGACATGCTATAAACTCTTTGGCTTACGATAAACTGATATATCAAAAATTTGCAATATCTTTAAAATTGATTTTAAAAAAAACTATTTTGCAGATAAGTTAAAGGACCAAAATAAAACTATTTTAACACTCTTCAAATCTGACCGAATAATATCAATTTTATTAGCAAAAAAATATTGTATGAGATTTTTTCGCTCCAATAGATTTTTTACAATAAAAACAATACTAAATTTCACTTTTTTTTCTTGAGGTTTTGATTCAAAAGTTATCAAAAAGTGAAATTAATCAAACTATGATGTGTGATATGCGATTGATATGGGGGAAAATTGACATCAAAACAGAATCGCGATCAGTAATCGTGTCGTACTGATGGCTTTAAGGTTTTAAAGGAAGAAAACTAAAAAATTAACCTGTTTTTACTTTATCCCTTTTGTATGGCATGATATAACCTCCTGGAATTAATGATACCCTGATCTGTCAAAATCTGACTATTGACTGCCCGAAAGAATTTTCACACAATCAAAGCAATTTTTTTTATCTAACAAATTTAAAATTGAAAAAAAATAGTTTGCATAATAGGTAAAGAACTACAAGAAAACCTCTTTAATACTCTTCAAATCTGACCTAATAAGATCGATTTTGTAAGCAATAAGCAATTATAGAACTAGATTATTTCGCTCAAATATTTTTTTATAATAAATACAATACTAGACCCCTCTTAATATGAGGTTTTGGTTGAGATTTTAATTCAAAAGTTATCAAAATTAATCAAACCAGGATGTGTGATATGCGATTGATATGGAAGAAAATTGACATCAAAACAGAATCGCGATCAGTAATCGTGTCGTACTGATGACTTCAAGGTTTTAAAGGAAGATAACTGAAAAATTAACCTGTTTTTACTTTTACTTTTTTTTTATTTGATTCTATTCCTACCTGGTAGAATTTTTACACAATCAAAGCGATTTTTTTTTAATGTAAACTAAATTTAAATTTGAAAAAAAATTTTGCATAATAGGTAAGGAACTATAGTAATACCTCTTTAATTCTCTTCAAATGTGACCTAATAAGATCGATTTTGTAAGGAAAAAACATTTATAGCATGAGATTTTTTTTCGTACAAGTATTTTTTTTATAATAAATACAATACTAAACCCCTCTTAACTTGGGTTTTTGGTTGAGATTTTGGTTCAAAAGTTATCAAAATGTGTAATTAATCAAACCAGGTTGTGTGATATGCTATTGGGAAAATTGACATCAAAACAGAATCGCGATCAGTAATCGTGTACTGTTTGCTTAAACGTTTAAAATGAAGAAAAATAAAAGATTAGCCAGTTTTTATTTCATCCTTCTTGTATGACACAATAACGATACATTGATGTCTCAAAAATCTTAAGTTTATTACCTGGTAGAAATTTCATGTAATCAAAGCAGGTTTTTTAATCTAAAATATCTTCAAAATTGATTAAAAAAAGACTATGTTGCATAAAAGGTAAAGAACTACAAGGAAACTTATAACATTTTTTGACAAAAATAGGTTGACATTTGGCGGTCCTAGTTTCAAAAGATAAACAATTTACCTCCACGCCTGCATTTGTGGTAAATTATCCATTCTGACATGCACTGTGCACACGGTTTATTGTAACGAACTGTGCAGGTTTGATGCCACCTGGTGGATATCTAATGACAATTATTGGTGGGGGTAGCATTATAGCTTGATGTCTCCACTAGAGACGCTAGCTCCCTTTTAACCCCCTCCAACTAATACTATCCCAAAATATAATTTTTTTAATCTAGTTGACCCTATGGATTAATTATTAAAAGATTTATTTGGTGTAAGTTAGCTAAAACGCGTCCTATTGTTACTGCTTGTATCAACAAACGAGGTGGATTTTAGTGCATGTTAAGATACACCTTGGTGTATTGTATGATAATCATAAAACAAACAATAGTTTTACAAAATTCTAAACGATTATTTTGAAACATCAAAACATTTTTAATTCAAAAATTCAACATTAGGAAAGACTTTTTTTAAATGATCATAAATTCAATGCAATATTATTTCAACTTAACTGTTCATAACATTGGGCTGAAAGGTAAATTGATATCAAACACTGGTTTATACACGAAAACATTTTTTAAAACTAAATGACCTTGAAATTTTACTGATATATTGTTAAAGTTAATAGTTTGATCTTAATCAAATAGTACAAACTCGTTTAGAAAAGATAAGCGTGATTACAGCGGTCATTAATATAGCTGTAATTTGAGAATTGAGTTGCAGTGATAACATATTCCCTCAGCTCTTCATCAGTCAGCCCATTTTAGGGCGTATTAGTGGAATTTTACGTGTCACCCATTAGTTATCCGTTTTATCGGTTGTTTCTCAAAATAACTCGTGTTTTGTATTATGTCTAGATGACTTGTCTAAAGAATCTTTAAACTTTTGGGTCAAAAATTGGTTCATCTCTGATCAGATCACTCATGTGTTGTAATAATCCTCTTCATTATAAATAACAACAAATTTCACGTTTTATTTTATTGACCATATAGATAAATTTACTTAGAAAAAGAATCTCTTATCGGCGTTTTTGACCTTTACTGAAGCTTTAGATCTTATTTACCAATGTTGTCGAAGCGGAAAATCTTTGGATATTAGTTTTAAAAAGGGCAAAACAAGGGGTTATCTAAATTAGGTAAAGACCTTACCACCAAAACTGCTTAACGTATTTTTAAATAATTACAATTATCTATCATCATTGTCAATAATATTATCGATATGTTGTAATAGGCAAACAATTATAGCGAGCGATCTGTTTTACAAAAATACCAAGGAGACAAAAATGAATGTTTTTATAACAAAAAATGTGTAATTTTGTCCCGAAATAAACAATTCATTTTTGTTTTTTCTTTCTAGCTACAAATTCGTAGGAGGCTAAAAGAAACTTTTATATAATTCACTAGTTTTCGTGGTCCGCTTGGCCAGTTAAATCTTTCAATTAATTAAGGTTTTTAGTTGGGATAAAAAAAACATTGTCACGAACGGGATTCGAACCCACGACCTTCGGCTAGATACCCCGCTACTCTACTGCTTGAGCTAATCCCGCTCGTGACACTGACTTTTTTTATCTCAACTAAAAAACCATAAGTAATTGAAAGCTTTTATACAATATTGGTTGTAATAGACCAATTAGATTTTGAAAAATGTTTCCGAAATATTATAACTTTTCTGCATTTCTTCGAACAACTAAATAACCTTGAACAATTTCTGAAATACTATTGGAGTTTGTTTTATATATACTTTTCTCAATACTTTTCTACAAAAGCTCGACATCATATTGAAACAATGTTTTTTAACTTTTTTAGAGCAATAATAGGCAAACAACTATCATTGTGACCAATTTGTTGTAAAAGGCCCAAAAACTGAAAAGTGAATTTTTTGTTCTGGGTCCAATTGGTCTCTCTTTTGTACAAAAGCTGTATTGCTTACTTTTCTGAAAAATTAATTTCATGATTGTCATTCCAAATGACGACAATTTCCTCTATTTTTAATCGGTTGACAGAACAGAGAAGTTCTTGTAAAACAAATTTTCTTATCGGTGACCCTGGCTTCGGCTCTTTTATGATCTCTGCCACCACAATTGAAATGCCATGTCCGTTGATAATTTTCTACTATCTTCCATTTATGTCTTTTGATATAAATATTCTTTTACTATAGTTTTCAATTTTTCTACTTTGGTCCAAACGAATTGATGTTGAAATATTTTGCATTAATAAAAACCAAAGGCGACACAATTTTTTTTTTTTTTAATCATCTTTTTATGTACGGTATTGGTTGAAATGAAAAAGTTAGTGTCACGAGCGGGATTCGAACCCACGACCCTCGGCTCAATACGCCGCTACCACTTGAGCTATCGTGATTTCGATCCACCAACTCCCCATCTCAACCTTTTTTCGAATTTTCCCCCATTTTTGCCATTTTTTCGGGTTCGAATCCCGCTCGTGACACAAACTTTTTCATTTCAACCAATAGCTTACATAAAAAGATTAATTAATTGAAAGAAGATATTTGGTCGATCGGACCACGAAATATAATGGGAAAAAATAAATTCTCGGTATATTTTTCGACATAAATGGTGCATTTGACATAGTCTTATTTTATTGCACAGGCTAAAAAGGAAAAAAATTTCAACCTTATAGTGAGGGAATTTCAAAAAGAGGAAAACATAAATAGTTACAAATCTCAAACAATCAAAAAACCTCAATAAAATCCCTCAGGGATACGTTCTAGGCCCATTACGTTGGACTAGTTTTTAAAATACGCTGAACAAACTAAAATTGGAGGAGTGCCCGCTGCGTTTGTGTCAGATCTAATGATTATTACAGAGGCTTGCATAAAAAAGATCAATAGTAATTGAAAAATGATTCAAATATTAAAAATACCTCCAGATTAGTGCAATGACGAAAGGAAAACTAAAACACAAGACTAGATGTTAAAAGGCTAATTACCTAGGAAAAAAGTTACGCCAGACTCACCATGTTATCAAACCAGTAAAATAATTGATAAAAAAACCTTTATTAATATTTACATTAAGAATTTTTTTAATTAGGCCAAAAGCATGACTTCCGCTATCTATACGTCTGCTAATTCATAACTGTACGTATATATATATATATATATATATATATATATATAAATTATTAAAGAAATATTTTTATATAGCAGTTGTGTTAATTATAATCATTATAGTTTTAATACAACATAACACACATTTTAACAACATAAGTAAACCTTAGATATTATTGTTCGTTATTATTATTCGTTATTAATCTTGGATAGTTCATGCTTTTTGACAAACAAATAAATGTTCTGAAAATGCCATTAATATTAAAATTGATTAATCTTTATCTAGTTACATCTTTCTCAAAATTAACTATATTCTCTCTTTTTTTATTACAGATTATTCGATTGTGGTTTCCTTCTTTTAAGTAAGTATTTAGAATTAATTATTAATGCAAGATATATGATGCTCATTGACCCAAAGTGTCCGATTAAGCAAAACACAACATTTATTTATTAGTTATTTATTTGGTAATTATGTCCGGAAATGTTTTTCCGGTAAACCGATGGCTTTTAATATAAAAGAAAAATGGAGTTTCTCCGTAAATATATAAATTGGATCCAGCTGCGTTTCTAAATATATCTGGATAACAAGGAATATTTTTATGTCCAAAGAGTTGGGTTTTTTTAGTAAAAAATCATAACACTTTCTTCTTCATACTTGTTACAACCCATATTTGACTAACATAACACAGAGACAAACAAGTAATTTAAATTTTTTAGTTTTGAGGAATGAATTAGAAAAAACATTATACCAGCAACAACTGGGCGACACACAAAAACACAAATAAAACTATTCCTTAATAGTTTTAATTCCCTTTAAATGCCAGAGAATGTGTAGTATTTGGGGTCGTGTCTGCCTATAAGAGGTTCTCCTTAAGGTACCGCGTGGGGAAGAAAAAACTCAATAATAACATTGCCTTGTCATACGAACAAACCAATACTTCTCTGTTCATTAGCCTCTTTTCCAATATATTTTCATTTAGCGGGCCGAGTTACATGAAATTTACAAGTTATTCAGGGGCGGTTTTTCCGTTTGTCAGCCCTTAAAAGTAACAAGTTACTTTCTGACCTTCTCAGACTTTATAAATCAGAAATACAATTGCTTTGTCTGATATCCTGTTGCTTAGGAAGCGTACAAAGTTTTCTAAAAATGAGAAACACACTTAACTCTATTGTGATTATCTTCCGCTATCTTAAGTGTCTCTTGTTAATTATTTGCGTTTCAACTTTAACCTGGCCTTCATGAGCGTACTTTTACTTAAAAAGAATAAGTGTTTTTCTTTTAAACTTGTCAAACCACCTTTAGAACACAGGTCGCAATTTAGCAAATACCTCTGTGCGTTTTTTGCTTTTTTCTATAAAAGTAAAAACGCATTAGATAGTTTATTTGGAGCTTATTATCATTGAGAAGGAAATAAAAAAAGAAAGTAAATTAATTGAATGGAGAGTATAAAACTTGAAGCCTGCATATTTAATACTTAAAACAATATTTAAAACATTCGTTTAAAGAATACAATTTGTTGTATATTTGTTATTTAATTTAAAGTGTTAGTCATAAGGTCAGATTATCGTGTAAAATCTGTGATCAGAACTTCAAATACCACAAAGGTGACACCGCGACCTTTGTCGCTGAAGGTAGCAAGGTGAAAAATTCGAGGTTCCATCCGCATTGATCATTTATATATGTGATATGAAGTATGCCCCGGGAATTTAAACCATTGCCATTATTGGAATGGGGTTCGACATGTCGAATTTAAACAGTAAAAAAACCTTGGCCGACCACTTGACAAAATTGATTTACGACGTGCAATTTGGAGAAAGTACCGATTTAAGGTCGGTGTGCTAAGTCATTCGGTGAATACGCTTCGTTAAAAGTCGCGCTATTGTACAAGACAAAAATGACCTACACCTTGAAATAACTTTTTTGCAGGTTTTAAAATCGCAAAATCAGTAATCAGACCTCTAAGTGTGGGGTTGCCTTTTCAATATATGCAATTAATAAAATAAATATTTTTTTATATCAAATATACCTTTTTTAACTTCAAATTAACTTTTTTT